TGGATGGACACACAAACAAGTAGAAAGCTTTAAAAACATGATAATATGTAAATATATTTCGAACTCAAATTATCATTGGGTGCTGCAACAATGCATACAAATACATAATGAATGATAAAATAAATGTACAGAACTGTTGCAGTCATTTTCAAAATATATTTAAATACAAAGTGATTTAAAGGCACGAAAATGGTAAAAAAAAAATTTATTTTTTGAATAACAGCCCATAAGTAAAAAAATATGAACAAAGCCGAGATCACATAATTCTCTTGTCAGTGGACATTTTATCCACGAATGTCAGAAATTCTAATTACGAGTACAATTACCAGTAGAACTATTGAATTCGAAAGTCAGAGCTTCTTTAAAACTTCAGTCAATTCTTCATTTCTATTTCATAGTATGCAATACATATTCTCAAATTAATATTGAATTATGTATTATCACTTCCGGAACCGGTAGACTTAAAGAATAAGAGAAATGCAATGGTGACCCTCCTTCTTAGGGACCTCGCAAGTATACTTGCGTATTAAATGTCACTTAAGAGTGCAACCCAACAGTACATTCCGGCCGGGTCAATTGCAGTCATTAGTCGCGAACTCGGTGTAGTTCAAGTTGTTTGCTTCTGGAGGCGGTGATAATCTTCCCCCGCTGGACTGAGAGATCCGGCGTTGACCTTCTGGACGGCTAGTGGCGTTTTCCTCGACCAGGTATCTCTTACCAGAGAGGAACCGCCCCATTCGAGACAAGCTCTAAGCTCCCGACTGGTGTGGTAGTGTAGTGCATGTCAGTGTGTGTATGTAAGGGATGAAATGGGACAATGAAATGAGAGGAAGAAAAGATCGCGATGATCGGAGAAACATAGGAAAACTACCGATCAGAGCAGCCGGCCGCTAGAATGTTGCTTCAGACAGCAGCTGAATTCGACCTAACTGACAATCTAGTTTCGAAAATCCTACAACCGCCGGGATTCGAATCCTATGATCTCCCAGTCAGAGGCACTGCTGTGACATGAGTTGATGCCCTGAGCCACCTCTCCACGATTCTCTACGCATGTGCATGTGCGCGAATTGCTTAGTCTAAAACATTTTGTTTTTCTTGTCATAAGTAGTTTTCCCTGAGGAATGATGCTGTATCTAGCAATAGCAACTAAAACTACGAAGAAAAGCAATGATCTTCAGAAATTTCAATTTTTTTTCTTAATATCTAATCATACACAATAATATTTTACCTAAGCATGTGCTTAAACATTGATTAAGCATGAGCTTAAACAAGACTGTTTTACAAATATACATTGCTTTACAAAAAAAAGTTGAAATTGAGCCCTGGATAATTTTTATGTCACGAACTCATAACTTTTAATTTACAGTTTATTGTAACATATTTTTTCTTAATATTGCAGCCTGAGTAACTTTACTTAAACTCCCAAATTTTAATCAAATGCCCGAAATGTTGCATAAAGTGAGTTTTTCAAGAATAAAAATGAATACAAAATATCAACGAGTTTTTTACATGAGTTTAATAGATTTTGTCCGCCTGTCATTAATAAAAAAGGCTACATTTCTCTATAAAAAATAAGATTGTACATAAGCATGAACTTCCATTTGTCTGTAAGGCGTCGTCATTGTTCAAGAACTGCAGCGAAGTCGTAAAATTTGGAAGCGCTGTGCTTTAGCCGTCGCCAAATTCTTAACTCTAAAAATAGCATTGACGGGGTCATATATGCTCGTAAAAGAAATTCCTGTCTACAAAACAGTTGAATTTCTTCTCGTTTTAATACCTCTGGAAATACTGAGACGTCGATTGTTTTACGTACGACGAGATGTGAACGGAACAAAGAACATTTGTTTGTATTCAACATTATTTTTTTCATTTTGATCTGTTTTCTTACTTTCTTCAATATTATTCTCGATATTTTGGTAGCACCTCAATATTATATTACATTAAATAATATTAGTTTTACGTTAAAATGTGATTATGTTGTTTAATGTTTACCCTGTTTGCCGTGCGTAGAATAGAGAGATATTGGTTCTGAAGTTGGTCCAACAATTCGAGTTAGAGATTGTGGTAGTAAAATAAAGGACCTTGAGGCGAACAACGTAGTTTTTACTATGATTTCTGTGTATGTGTGATGAAAACTTTCGTGAGGATAAGCTCTCAATTCGAACATACAATGCCCAATTGGCTGAGTTTATCTCAAAGCCAGCATTGACGTTGAATCTGGAGCGAATCTGACATGTGTGGTAGTACAGTGCATGTGTAAGAGTGTTTGTGTAAGCGGAGGGAACGGAACAAGGAAGAAGAAGAAGAAGAAGAAGAAGAAGAAGAAGAAGAAGAAGAAGAAGAAGAAGAAGAAGTGGAACCAATGATCACGGGCGGTACGTGACCCGTTTGTTAGGGTTCTACTGCTGCATTCGTCTTGTAGTGATCGAAGAAGACACAGAAAACTTCCAATCAGAGCAGCTAACCGCTATAAAGCTCCCCCAGACAGTAAAAACTGCAAAAGGAGGAAATAATTTATAAAGTTTTGAAACAAATCAAAAGCACTTTTTGGTGGTGTAGAAATAAACAGAAGAAACAGAAGACTTCTCTTCCTTTTAGGGGGTGAAATTGTAGTTGCACCACCAAAGCTATTTGCCTACAATTATTTTTGGGAATTTTCAAAGATTAATAAATCATTTCTTCCATTTGCCTATGAGTGAACTATACATACATTTATGAGACTTCCACTTATTTTTGGTGGACAAACAAAATTTTATTTTTCTGCTTGTTCATTTTTTTATAAGTTTTAAACTTTGCAGTTAGGTTCGTTAAACATTTTGAGAAAGTTTGAGATCAGCACACCTTGAGTTTTAAAGAAATGTATTTCTTCGTTTGTGAAGACAGAAATATTATTCAAAGTTCAAAATACAATTATTACATATTACACATTTATTTTACATTTGTCTTATTCTGATCGTTTCTTTTTTTACATTCCCGGACATTTTGAATTTTTTAACAGTACTTTTTTGTCTATTTTTTTACTATTTCTCTTCATATTGCTTAATTAGTCGAACATTTACGTTTATATATTTTCAGTTGTGATAGCATAAACTAATGTTAAAGCGAGCTTATATAATTTGTCTTCAAAAACTATTCCTCCTTCCATTATGTGAAAAAAAACTAATAGAAATAGTATCAATCAGTCTCAAGAGCAAAATACACGTGTATTTTTGCATCTTATTTGATATTAATCTCTTTTTAATACAAAATGATTGAATATATAGAATCGTTTCGTTTTTTCAAAATTGTACTATGTACCAAAAATATGATTTCTCAGCTTGTACATTTAAATGGATATTGTATGGTTAAAATGCAATTATTTTAGATGGTTATGCGGGTAGGGAAAAACATTTTAGGGTGAATAAATTCAAAGAAATTTTCAAGGCTTTTGTGTCAGAAGCTTGTCCAATGGTTCTGTCTGGCAAAGCTCACATAGTGTGCCATCATATCAACTCGTTTCACACATCACGATTATATTACTTTACAATGATCTTTCTCTGAGTACTCTTAGTCGTACTCTCTATACACTCGAACTCTCAATAGTCAATGCATCATCGACATGAATGAACTCGACATGAATTTACATTAGCACATATTACAATATTTAAAGTAGAAGATATGAAGTCGTTGAAGACATTTAGAAATAATAGCATTTGAACATTTGCATTCAAAACTTTTGAAATAATTAATAAAATATTATTAGCGTAAATGAAGGAGGTAAAAATGAACAAATGAAATTCTGTACTCAGGGTTCTTACTTTAATACTTGCTTTGAGTACAGTATTTCTTTGAATCCTCAGATATTCAGAACTAGGGAAATGAAAATCAGATGTGCATATTGATGATGTGTACCTGATATGTAGCTTAGTCTGGCCAAAGAACCTCACAATGACATTCATCCCTTTGATGAAATTAAAGTTTTTCTAATAAGTGTTAAATATGCATAATCTCGTTCATATTGCAAAAGGGAAAAAGTATTCACTAAGATATTATTAGGGCATGCCCGTAAAAACTTTCTAAAAAACAGCCTTTCCTTTCTAACAAAAATATCAGTGTTCTAAGATCATGTATGTTTATCATATCATTATTTGTTGTTTGTTATAATACTTTGAATGCAAATATTTATATATTGTTGTTTCTAAATGCGTTTAAAGATTTAATTCATCCTTCTTTAAATATTTTCTAATGTCAATGAATGTTGCGTTTTTTAAGTTGATGTATGACCCTTTCCCTACACTCCTTTTTTTTAAACTTGAATTAATAAATGTTAGTTTTATTATATTGGGAATCATATGGGTCATATTTAGACCACTTTATCTCTTATCAGAAGCAATATGATGCACAAATTATCCCAAATAAATGTGTACGTTTGCTTTTCAAATGTTCTTTCACGCTTTTCAACAAGCCCGCTACTCAACCTTTAGAATTTATTTGAATTCTTATGAATTCAAATATTTGATTGTTTTTCGTCCATGGAGCATTGTTATTTGTATAGAATATAAAAATAAGAAAAAAAATTATTTAGAATTTGTTTTTTTCCTTAAAAGTTTCTGATTATTTGTTATCAGGGTTCGCCGAACACTGTTCAGTGAATTGAGGCTCTAGTGTTCCCATGTCATTATTCCACTCCCGGAAGCGCCAATTGCACGTTCATTCGCTTTGTCAAATCATGCTGTTCTTGCATTGGAAAAGGACATCACATCATGGGATAATTGAAGCGATTGACATTGATGGGGGGAGTTCCTATACGATTCACAATTAATATTAGAACCCTCCCCCAATTACTGCTCATAAGAACAGTGAAATCTCAATGCCTAGAATTTCAAGGGAATAAGAAAAAGGTCAATACATTGAAAATGTATGAACTGGTATTAAGATTTCTGTTAGTGAACATACAGTTTTGCGGGAGATAAAGAGGAATAAAATATCAAGTACTTCGCGAAATATGTGGGACTGTGAGTTCAGTTGAGGCGGTGCGGGGAGAAGGCGCGCCCTAGCCAGCCAGACACCAGCCTCAAGAGGGGCGCCGGGTTGCCGGTGGGCGTCGCGACGGCGTGATTCCACAGCAGGAAAGGCCGGAATGGAGTGTCATCGGGGGTGCGAGGGGGGCTGGGGGCGCCGAAGCTGGCGAAGGACGGAGGCGGGCGCTGCGTGGGGAAGGGCGGGTGCAGAGGCGCGGTCGGAGGTTGCGGGGTCTTCGGCGGAGGCCGTGTGGCTTCCGACAGCACACAGATCTTGCGCGTGCACCAGGAGAAACTGCGGAACGCGTTGCACTGGCAGCTGTTGCAGCCGTCGCTGCCCGCGTACAGGGCGTTTTCCACGCATTCGTTTATCGTGTAGTTCCCTGTAGAACAAAAAAAATTAGAAACTGTATACAAATGAACTCTTTAACAAAATAATGGTGATTTGGTTCAAAGAAACACAAACAACATGTATGAACATGACTGAACAGGAAAGAATTTTTAATGCGCATACACATGGCAGCTTAATGCGCATACGCAGTTAATTTTTCGCTCAATTTCTTTAACGTACGTTTAACATGAGGTTTGAAATGAGAGAGCCAAATATTTTGTTACCTTTACGGCAGCCAATTGCACAATGTTAATTTTCAAAATAGTTCGAAGTAGTTGTGCGTGTGCTTGTTCATTTGAAACGGCAATCTGCAAAGAATATTCAGGCAACGGAAACGGCAATATGAAAAGAATATTCAGAGCATCGGGGAAGTGAACCCTTCTTCCGTTTGGAATTGACGAGGACATGACCTAAAATTGAACGCTGCGGGACTCCCATGTTCAATTAAAAATACACAGGAAAGCTGGGTAAATAATGACCTTTCATTCCAGTACGGTATTTCTACTCGCCAGTTTCACCAACAGCCGAGTAAAGTTAAGGCTAAATGTCCTGACACTAGTACAATTTGTGGCCACCACGTGGCAGCACCAAAATATGTAAAATTTACTTTACCGATAACGTCTGAACCAATGGTCCGATTTTCGATCTGTAAACGGCATTTGACGCCTTTTTAGAATATAATTTACGCTACGAAGCTCTTTTTCCAAAAATATTGCAATAATTTGAATTTTAAATTAGTTCTCGAACTTTCGAAAAAAAATTAAAAATGTGGGCTTATAGCGCGATGGCGACATGCTTCCTGAATCCAACGCCGTGACAATCATGCAAATCGGACGAATAAGAGCGCTGGAAAGTGAAATTTACGAAAACATCTCGCCCCCCCTTCTTCCCCTTCTGCGCTGTTGCGTCGCCCACCCGATTGTTGTAGGCCCTCTGTCGGCGTGGGGGCACGACCAGGCCAGACGGCGTGCGGCCAGCCCTGGCGGAGGAGGCGGGACTTGCGGGATACGCAAGCCAGACAGTCGGTTCATGCTTTCGTCATTTTGCATCTCAATCTATTTTTCCACAGACACCCAATTAGAGATGCTATACCAAATTAGAGATGCTATGCTAGATATTACAGACCGTTTACCTCGGTCTGTAATAGTAGTACATAACTATATTTTTCACATATTTCCGTCTTCCTTCGGATACGATTTTAAAATTGTTTGAGGCAATACTCTAAATATCGATTCCGATTTGGAACTGGTTTTTTAAAAATATGAACTAATTTTGTAAATATCACCATTATTCCATCTCCTCACTTCTTATTTTAAATATATTTTACTTCTAAGGTCTTCTGTTAACATTCCACCTTGCTCTAAGATCTTCCGGCTTCAAATACCGGAAAGAATGTGCGGAGTATGCGCACGAGCTCTTTTATCCTACAACTCGAGTTTTGATCTCAAAACGACGTTTACTTGCTTGAAAGGGTTCATCTGGTTAATCTCTAAATAATATACTATATAATAACAAATACATTTATTATTTACAAAAATAAACCCCCACCTCCCGAAAAATAATCGGCTGGATCCGACTGTGACACCTCTTTTAACTCCGTAAGCGGAAGGAATAACACAGATCCTCGTATGTCATCGGAAGCGACAGCAGATTCTACACAGATCTGGCGTCTCCCACAGCAATGCTTCAGGGAGAGAGGCGATACGATGAGAGGGAGCTTGAATTTTCATGACGCGAGCTACAATTACTGGTAACATTAGGGAAAGTTTTATCTCGAAAAGTAAAATTAAATTATAATTTTGAATTTCTTGATACTTTTTATGCATGTAGCCGCAGTTATCTACAGTGTAATTATTATTATTATTATTATTATTATTATTATTACATTTATTCAAAAGTACCGAAATCAAGGGTAATATGCTTGACAGGAATAACAGGGACAATACCAGAGAGAGAACACAAAGCTTTTGTTGAACGAAAATGCTAAAAGTTTTGTACATCTTTGTTTGTAACATGAAAAAAGTAAATTATGAAAAATGAGTGGTTGTCTCTGCGACTATGCACGACGAGTTCTGCCAGTTTCGAATTATGTTTTTGATTGATCACCACCAGTCTCTTTGTTTTCCATTTTCCAAGTCATTGAAACTGCGAAGGCAACACTCCTTTCGTCTTATCGTTTAGATGACGGCAGAGATTTTTTGTTATGTGTTGTAAGCGATTCATGAATGCAGAAGCAACGTGGAATTCTGATTTTCGCAGTTGATATTGGAGGATCTAAAATATTAATTGAAAGAAATGTTTACAAACACTTAATACTTGGCCATTTGTACTGAATTAATATGCATATAGGTCCTCTATAAAATCGAAGTTTTAGTACCTGAGATAGCTTACAATCTAAAGAACTTTGTTGTGAGCATTCTCCGTTGTCTATTGCGAACTGACTGTCTCAGGGCCATATTCGGATTGGGAAATCCCGGCCCCCTCCCTAGTCTTTGCAGGCTGGTGGCGAGAAAAAGAAACGACCCCGCCTGATGCATTCGGGGCAACAAACCTGCTCAATTAATTTTCCAATGACAGACTGAATCAGACCGCAGAAAAAATCAGATTTTCTCCGGTAAATATAAATAAAAAAGGTTGCACAAATCTGAACTCAGACATCGAAAAACAAGATTCAATGGATTATTAGTATAATACCGATATAATATACCTATAGACTTAATGTGGTTTTTACTTTAAAACGATCTATATATTATATTATTATTATATTATTATTAGATCTCCTCCTCCT